TTTTATGCTTTAAGTTATTGTTTATTTATTTATCTATTTCACGGAAGCAACCGACATGACTTAATTAGCATATCGTCAAAATTCGTAAGTTTCCGGTGACGTCATATGTATCATTTCCGAAGGGCATGGTGAAGGCCAGTGTTGTGGCATGGGGGTATTTTTTTTAATAAGGCAAGGCAAAATCATTTCGTTAAGTTCTCGGTAAGAAACAATGTTCCTTTATTTTTTTTTACTATTTTTGATTTATTCGCGCAAAGGACATTGGGTAGTGCAGGAATTCTGGGAATGTTGCACAGAGAAATTTGCCTGACGTATGTACAGATTTCATTCCGAATTTCCTCTGTTCTTACACGTTAGTCTATTGAGCTCGCTTCGCGAGCGTCGCTTCGCGACGCTCGCTGCGCTCGCTATAAGAGAAAAAATTCACACCGAGGATTTTTATTTGGTTCATGGGTGGGGTCTTGTTCAAATGAAACCTGAGTAAAAAATTAACATTCTGCTTCTGTATCTGTTTTCGTTGCTAAATATATGTAGCCCAAGACTTTAATGGAATCATAGACTCACTATTCATCACAGTTTTTAAGTTGTTATCTAGTTTAATCGCTTAGATACTAATCAATCGAATTAAGAAAGAAAGGATTTAATCGATATTTAACTCTTTTTGTTACACATGTGGCCAGTGTATTAAACGTTTTTAACTGTAGCTACACGTCGGATTTGACGTCGAAGAACATTATAATTTATGCCATCACCGTACAAGTTCGTCGCATATCGTGTAACTAAACCTCTATCATACGCTTAATAGACTCCAGCGTATGTTTGCCCTGACGTCATACCCAATACATGTTTTACCAAATATTTATAAGTCCTCAGCATTTTGTTATATCAGTGTGTATAGTTAGTTGCTTTATTGTTGATAAATGTTTTTTTCATAAGCTTAATGCACCAGTTTATTAATGTAAAATAATTGGTGTCAAACAAACGATGACATCACCCAGTAAACGGAATGTTTGCTGAATGCCCTTAAAAACTTTTTTTAAAAAACAATGATATCATTTTGACTGTTCTCAATAATATAAAATCGCATATTTTCGAGAAAAATATCTCGGTTCAAAGAGATTTGATTTCGTTTCTGAAGATTTTTTCGGTAAAAATATATATGTGAAAAGTTGTATTTCGCTTTGGACATAAATTCATGGATCTCTTCAAACCTCGAAAACGATGAAAATTAAACCCCCATGATAATTAGTGATTTTATAGTATTTTTTCTGTTGTTACTGATAAAAGCTGTCGGTTCTGCCAATGACTGATATAAGGTCGTTGTTTACAGGAGTTTTCGTATATATTTCTGAGAAATATATTTTCTGAAAAGCATTGTTGGTGCTAGGAATTGATGATAATTATTACATTGACGCAAACTGTGGTAAATGTACAATTTGTAAAGGGGCAATTTAATAAAGATTGGAAGAATTTTTGTAGATAGATAATAATGTGATGTTTTTTCAGGCAATTTCGTTTATTTCATATTTCCCCAAAGTACCTAATTTTGTCCTGCAAAAAACAGTATTGCAGTTATCTTGAAAGGGTCTATTATTTACATAATTATGTAGATTATTTCCTGAGTTCATCCACGTTAAATGTAAATAGAGAGAATGCGAGTTTTTTTTTTTTGGTATATTTTGTTTCTTAAAATGTAAAATCACATATTTTCGAGGGGTCAAATTTTAGTTATTTCAGGAAAATATTTTGGATCATGGAAATTTTATTTATTTCGTCATTCAAGAATTACTCAGTACAAATATATGTGAAAAATTGAATTTCGTGTTGGATATAAATTCATAGGTCTCTTCATACCTTGAAATCCATGAAAACCCCACGAAAATTAGTGATTTCAAAATATGTTTATTTTTTCTGTTGTTAGTGATAAAAGCTGTTGGTTTTGATATTTAGTGCCTTATTTATAGTAGGATTTGTATATTTCTGAGACATATAATATCCGAAAATCATTGTTGGTGCTACAGTTTAAAATTGGTGATGTTAAGTCCCTTTATGGAAACTGTGGTACTAGTTTTCTGCAAGGCAAATTTATAAAGTTTGACATAATTTTGTTGATAAATAATTAAATGACGATTTTTAAACAATTGCTTTAAGTCATATTTCATCAATGTATATAATTTTCCTTGCAAAAGAGCAGTATAGCAGTTATCATGAATGGGTCTATAATCTTAATTATTTCCTTGAGTTCATACGAAGTAAAAAGACAGAAGGCAAGATGTGCTTAATAAGACATTTATTTAAGGTCAAGATTAAGTAAATGAAAGGTGCCTACAGATTTATAAATTTGAAAAATAAATTCTTTAATGATGCTTTATAAGTTTAGCTTGGTCAAATAAGGTGTTTTGGGGCATAATTTGTAAATAAATAAGACGAAAATTATATTTTAAAGTGTCATTTCAATGAAAATTGTCTACGGTTTCTCAGAAAACGGTGGTTTTTATGTTTTTGGCCTTAATCATGATATTAAATTTGATATAGGTATCGGGATTACTTTTCATGATTTCAAATTGAATTCTGTGAAAAAAAAATACCTTATTTTCTACATAACGGTAATTCTCTTAGAGGCTAAAACTACGAGAAAAAGAAAGTTGAAATCGACTTTGACGTCATAATGGATTTAGCACCAAAAAAATAGACTAATGTCATTTACTAGAACTTGACCTTAATCTGTTTATTTGATAATGATATTTGAATATTTTTAAAACCGTTGCTATTTAGAATTTGCAACTTGAGTTGCAGCAAAGAGAGGCCACATTTTTCATAAATATGATTGCGTAGACCCTGGGGTACACAAAGAAAATATATAAAGTTTAACGTGGTTTAATTGTGCTTAATTCGATTTGTCCCTTAAAAAATTGCTTTTATTATGCAATTCACCTTTTTCGAATTAGAACTCAGTTAATCACAGGCAAACGTCGTGTAAAATGTACTTTTTTATATAAATTAATCAACCTATCCAAGATCCCAATCTACTCTTTATATTTTATATGTAACAACAAAACAAAAATAATATATTTAACAATAATATTTTTATTTATGAATTTATTGTTTAATTACTGTAAGGTGGTAGTTGCTATGGCATGGCATACACAATTACCGATAAAACGGTACATAAACTCTAGCTGAAAAAAGTCCACAAAGAAGATCTATATAGTGAAAAACACAAATTTTACCAAATTATAGAGTTATCTCTCTTTGTTTTCCCAAATAAGTGACCTCTTATGAAAATCAATATCAATATCTATAAAAATGTAAAAAAAAAAAAAAAAAATTCATTCCAATATGTTACTTTTAAAAAAAATTGACTTGGAGGTAGGAGGGAGACCAAAAACTATCGATAGTACTTCTACTTCTTTCGTTTTATAGCAATGAAAAAAAACGTTTTAAAGCATATGAGTAATTCCACTGCCAGCATGCAATGACACTTATGAAGATAACGAACAGTAGTTAAGAATAAAAGTTCATAAAAAGTATAAAATATGAACAGGGCAAACAAGGACTTCCAAAACATTGGAGGTTAGAATAGGTGCGATTGAGGAGAGAACATCGACCTCCTGCCCACCGGACACACCCTCCTTGTGTTCCATGTCATGATTGGGAAATAACGGGAAAATTCATCGTCAATTCATATATTGTACGCGGCCCCGGGGTCAATTGTTTGTTAAAATTATTTATAAAATTAAGCTGTTACATATGTTTACTTAAAATGTTGTACTCTAGATTCATTATCCCAGTGTAATGGTGGATTCTAGAGTACGTGAAAATTAAAGAAGCTAATGGTGGAGAGGAAGGGGGGGGGGGTGTAAACAAATTAACCATCAGATATATCTATTTTTAGATAAGGTATCCAAAGCTGACAGCTATCATTTGGTAAAGAAATGTTTTATATATTTTAGTTTTGATTAAATCTTAGTTTTCAATCTTTTTAAACATTTGATTATTTTTGTATATCTTTAATGGAGCTCCATTTAAAGGAGATCAATAAAGTCTAAAAATGACCACAACCACCCTATGTGTTCAGCACAGACAAGATATCTTACACAATATGCTTTGATGATGTTCAATTTGTGTGGAGGAACATGAACTTACATTGTGTTTATATATTTATTTTAAAGTATTAAATGTTCAAGCGTCTGGTTGCTTTTGAATACTTCAGATGAGACATTTCAATAAAATAAAGTATTTCAATAAAATGTCTTTTTATTATTTTGATTTATTTACAAATGGCAGCACATCATTCAATGTATTATACCATATTTTTAAGAATAACAATTCTTTTAAGAAAATTTTACTAACTTTTTTTTCATTTCTGTACCACTTGATAACATATGCAACAAAATCTAACAAGTATACATGCAAAAAGATATACAAAAATATTTTTCTTAAAAAATGCAGTGAAATGCATGTTATTGACTAAAAAAAATAAAACTCTACGATTGATTTCAAAAGTCACAGATGATGTACATTTTATTTTTTTTTCTTTTGTACTATGAAGAGCAATACAATCCACGTGTAAAAATAAAAAAAATATATCATAATTAATGGTTATGAGTTAAAATTTAACAGAATAAGCACACAAACTCTCATCTACCTATATATCATACATACACTTTCATTCCATGATACAATGGTAACTGGAAATACTGTTAATCAATAAATTGATAAATAGAAAATAACTGAAATTGATATAAATAAACAATCAAATGAATATTTCATGACTTCAGGACTGAGTTTAACAAATTAGGATTTCGCAGATCCATGTATATTGCCTTGTATTTATCACCCTTTGATACTTAGTCTTTAAGATTTTCATTTATCTCCTGAAAATAGTTTAGACACGAAACAAAAACATCGTGAACGAAAAGGTTTTGCTAATTGAATGTCTTAAGGGTATAGTAATCTGTTTCAACCCTTGTATAGCGAATGCAGAGAAAAAAGCTTTGTCACTGTTGAAATGGATTACTTTAAAAAAAAGATGGATGGAAAATATCAATAAATTAGTGGAATTTCCAAGCATAAATCTTAACAAATGTTTTACAACTTTACCAACTACACGTGTACCTGCATGCACCTTCTATTATGAAATGTAATACAGGTAAGAACTATCTCTGTAACCATGGATCCTAGGATCACGTGCCTGGTAACCTCGAACAAAATGTAAATGGGGTGAATAGTACATGCGCACTAGAAAATCATGTCCAAAATAACGTTCATGCGACATCTTATTTGATAGATCCTCTTTATGGTAATTAAAGTCATTTGCTTTACTTCCCGATTCAAATCGTTTTTTGCATATAAAACAACCGCAGGAAACTAGAATAAAAACAAATATTGCAGCTGCACTTGCTGAAAGAAATAAACCTTCCATGGAAATTGATTGTGATGACGTCACTTTTGTGGATTCAACACGTTTCCAACTGTTGTCATTGACAACAGACACAGAAACAATATTTGAAACTTCACCTTGGTTCCCTTCATCATCAACGGCTAGAACAGCTAAATAGTAATTCACTCCAACTTCCGGTAGGACAAAGGAAAATATTTCTAAGTTGCCTGGGTTTGAAGGTGTTGGAATCTTGTCCGTAATTTGGGTCACTGTATCAGTTGAACTTAAAATGGCTGAGTAGTTGTTTGACAAGAAAACCATGTATGATGATGCTGGAAAAGAAATAAAACGCATTCAAACACAACAATAATTACATGTATTCTTCACCCATCGTTGACCAATTATTTAACTCACTACGTTAAAGACTAAGATTTGACGTGAACGTATGTAATTTTTTGCTAAATATTAGCTTGTTTCTTTTCTTTCTTACCTTTTCCTACGGTAAAATCATCACCCACAGCATTCCAGCTTACATTAAATGAATTACCCTCGGTGCTCATTAGTCTAAGGGTCGTTATCCTGGCTGGTGGCATCTTATCTTCAGTTACTGGTTTGTAATTCTGAACAGTGAATGTTCCTCCAGCTGCAACCCTCTTAAATCCACCCACGTTTTCTGTTTTGAGATTAGAAGTTGCTGAAAAAATAAGGAAATTAAATTAAAATTTTGAACTGCTTTTAATTGTTTTTGTAGGTTGTTTATTGTAGAAATATATACTAAAATTGTAAATTAAGTGAAATTAGCATAATTTTTAGTACTTGTAGCAATATATATTGAATTAGGACACTATTAATTAAGAAGAAATAAATTCTGCAAAATACTTTTTTAAATATAAAATAAAAATGTAAAAAGCTATCTAAAAATATGAAATATTTTGTAAAACGTGAAGCTACAGAATTGAAGAGTTGGTTTTTTTTCATATATATATGTTTTTCACAAAGACCTAAACAAAAAATGAGACTGCTATAGTTCTGCCGCTAATAAAATGTGTAATAATGCTTTATTTACCTATTTCATTTTGTATTTGCCTTTTCCGCCTTTTCAGTTCAGGAAGCAGAATTTTTGATTCACCATCTTTGCCAGTTACTACAAGTTTTAGACTGTGTCTTCCACTCGATTTGATTTCTGATGGCAATATCAATCCGGTATATTGACCATCTCCCTTTATCAAATCCATGCCTACAATATTAACATTGTACGTTGGTGACTAAATAGGCAAGAATTTTCTTTGTATACAAGTCCAAAATAACAAAGTAATACCGATAAGATGGGAAATCGGAGGGATTTCTCTCACCTAGACCATCATCAGCTAGGTCTACATGGATCACGTGACCATTCTCATCCTCTGCAAAGATTTTAACTTCAGCATCAAAGACAGGGTATATTCCTTTCTGAACTAAAGCATAAAGTACAATTGGAGAAGACGGTGAAAAGTCAAACGAGTCTGTCGATGTCCACGCAGTGGCAGTTAAAACGTCTTCAGAAGGATTCCTAGGATAGGAGTGTGCCGTAAGAGTCAGAATGACGTCAAGGGTTGACGAAATCTCAATGACGTAATCACCTACCTAAAACGAATCATAGAAAAACATGCACATGGGATTTGATTTATAAGATATATATAACAGTCTACTATGAAGATTATGACAGACAACACATGTTTATCAATTAAAGTATCTTGCTGTAAATATGATACCTCAGCAATGCCGTCAATTTTTAAGCTACAGGAATCTGTACAGGCACCAGAAGTAACGAAACTATTTCCTGGACCTGATAGCGTTGCAATTGTGAAATCAATCCCTGGTCCCATTAACAAGATAGTGGTGTCAAGTCCAATGGTAGAGTCTATTGTTATTGATGTAGTGTAATTCTGGTCTTTGGTCACATTCACTGATTTGCTCTCGAGCTAAATGTTGAAAAATTGGGAAATTAAAGAATTACTACATGTAAAGTTTTGGAAAAAAAGTATATCTAAATTTTGTTTTTAAAGATATTTTCATTGATCTTGCAAATATGATTTAAAACCAATCAGGTTTCAAGTTTTTCGTCAAATACCTTCTAAATTTTTTATATTATTTTGGTCAACTTACTTGATACATCTTCCCTTCTTCATCGGAAGAAGATGCAGCAATGCCAAGAAAAATATCTGCCAGCGCTGTAGACCGTTGGTTTCCGGAGTAAAAGAAGCTGAATCCGCCACTGTCCTTTGCTAGTTTATCAATTTTGGCATCCGCCTCCCTCCCAATAGCCACCGATCGGATGATCACGCCCTCTGCCAGAATTTCCTCTCTCACTTCATCCGGTCCAGGAAGGACTGTATTTGCGCCATCAGATACCAGAATAATTTCACTACCAGTTATGTTGTCACTGTCTTCTGTTAATAACTGCAATAAACAAAATTGGACATATCTTAATTTTACCTCTTGATCATGTTAATGCTTTAAAAAGAAACAATATTTCATCTTCCTAATTTGTTTCATTCCTTTCTTCGATCAAAGAAATAATTTTAATTACTTTTTTCTAGACACACGATGATACTATATCTCCTGAAAGGATACTTAGTTTGAAATACCTCTAAAGCTTTTTGTAGACCAGCTCCAATAGATGTTGCGCCATGAGCTTTGATGTTCTTTACTAGAGTCACTAAACCTTGTCTGTCTTGTTCTGACGTCACAGTAGTCAATGGCGCCACGACACTGGCCGTTTCGTTAAATGTGACCACGGCAATGGATGTAGCATTTGGTGACCAGTTTCTGATGTAATTTGATGATATAGCCTTCAATTTGTTTATCCTTTGCTTTAAAAAAGATTTTTAAAAAGAATTTTGATTTTTTCTGCTACTTTGAAAACGGAGTTTTGAATCAGGATGTTGATTTCAATAATAATTTTCAAATGATTTATTGCGCGTTTCAATTTATATCACAATAATTTCCTTTTGTAGAAAAAATTGAAATCAAAAGGATAAGGTAAATTTGGAGCAAGTGATTATCATTAATAAAGATATTACTTGGTTATAATTAATGTATGCATGTGATTTTATCATCAGGGAAAGTTAGTCAGGTAAGCATATATCTTCTAAGATTAAATTATCATATATCAGTGGACAGGGATTAGTCAAATTAATTTTGCTATGCAAAAATTGCGAAAAAGAGTATCTATACAAGAAAAGGTACTTCACAATTATCATTACATCTACTTACATTTACAATACTGTAGTTAATCGTAAGACTGATTTAAAATAGTTTTCAAAAGTAGTTAAATGTGTACTAGATCAAATATAGCAAGAAATGACAGAAATTTTAGATTGTGGGTTATATAAAATGGAATATAGTTATCTAAAATATGGAAAGAGAATATAAGGAAAGAGAAAGTAAAATTCATAGGTATTGTAATACCTTTCTCAAAGGGTTTGTTGCTTTACTTTCCTGGAGGAAGCATGAATATCATTGAAATTTAATTACGTATAATCATTGATTGTCATATTTAGAAATAGACAATGTCTGACGACATTTGGTTCGAATTTGGTACTTACATCATAACTGTTCATACTTCCGGACTTGTCCAATACTAAGACAACTTTCTGACCCGCCCGCTGTTGAACCACCCTGAATGTTGGAACTGTATTCTGAGATGGAGAGCCTGGTTTTGTATCTACAAGCAAGAAAAACAAGGTTAACAATCTGTATTCGAAAATATGTGAGTATATCCAATACTGCATAGATACAAAGTTTTGTCTCTGGAATTTCCCAAAAAAATATTTGTAATAATATTAAATCAATGGTTGAACTGACCTTTGAAGTCAGAGTGAAGTCTCATTATTTCCCAGGCACTCCTTCCTTGGCAGAATCTGTTATGAGGGGTATCCGCCTCTCTGTTGTGTGGAACATCACTGTTTTCATCGTCACAGAACTCAACAACCTTAAAAACAAATGCATAATCAAGTTACATCACATGCTATGATGCAATACAATAAGAATATTAGATAACTAAACAACGATTATATTTAATTCAACACAAGAGCATTTTAAGAAGACGCTTTTACACTGTTTGAAAATTTATCATTGTCATTATTTAACGAATATATCAGTTTTACATAATATATATGTATACAATGTACTAACACTAGATATCTCTGGTTTCCCCATGATTGAGCCTTTTACAGTATTGTCCTGTTCCTCTACACAGAATTTACAATCCTTTTCTGGTAGACCATTATCGTCCAGAAGACAAGGTTTGGAGCTCTGGCAGTATTTCAGGTGGTTTTGGCCCTTTATGTTTCTAGCACATCTGAAGAATGACACCGATTCTAATGTAAGATATTACAGATCATTAACTTTAATTCGACATAATTTATTCATTATTTAGCGTGATGGAGTTCAAGGCATAAAAAGATACATGATATTTGTATAGTAAATATGTTTGTCTTTGATTGATTTGTAATAATTTTATATTATCTTTAAAAACAATGTCACTAAAGGCACACACTGATGAAGTAAGTCTGTATTATTCTATTAAAAACGAAACAGAAATGTAAGACTTTTTTCGTTGATGGGTTTTGAATGTTAACTTACATATTGGGTTTAAATGTCCCCTCAGTAGAGTAAAACCAAGGGTTTCTATTTGCTTCCATGATGGGTGCTTCTTTATCGCCATGTTCGTCAAATAACCCCCATCTGAAATGGCCCCAGTGATGAACTAGTATCTTATCTATGAATGAAAAAGTCATTTTGATCATAATTCATGAAGCTGAATTTTATATTTCTTTGTTCAAAGCAGATTTGTATAGAGCATTATAGGGTGTTTCATATCAATATTTTATCGCAGCAAAAATGAATGCTTAAGCTGTTGTATAGAACATGTACCTCAATAATATTTTGATTGCTTTCTTTAATATAAAAAATATGCACCTGCAAGTCCTACTGTCGGATGAACTTGTACCGTAATTGGTTCTAAATGTATATATCTTCCGGGATGACCACATCCGGTCATTCCAGATACGTATGGTTTGTTGTCAACCAGTGGATTGGGTTTGTCTACAATTATGTGGGCCGTATCAAGCTGTGGCCCACTTACAAATTCTTTGGTAAAATTATTTGGCCATGACTTTGGTATAACTATGGTGACATCTTTAAAGAAAACGTGGTATTTTGTTGACTTGTACAACTGGGCAGAGGCGGCTGTGATTAAGTTCTGCAAAATGATATAATAATTAAGTAAAGATTCTCTTAATAACATAATTTATTTCCGCTATGAAAAAGAGTTATGTCAAAAAGGTTTAAAGAAACATAGGTAGTCTTTTCCCAACATATGTATTTTGCGTAAAGTAATAATGTTTTTATTTCTGTTACCCACTTTGACTCCACACGGGTTTTTTATATACATAAATTACCAAATAACTAACTACCAAGATTCCTGATTAAATCTATTATGTTCATTTTTTTGCAAAATTGCGCAGCATGTAAAATGTCCCTCTGTTCAACTTAATCGTTAGAACTAGATATGACAATTATATGTACTTTCAAGAACAAATAAGTGCAATTAGATTAAGAGTGTTAATTTTGCACTTTGCCTGAAGAAATGATTAAGAATGACACTCTATATTTTCGACAGACACAACTGTGATGAGGTAGACTTAAGAGATTATAACTATACCTCAATTGTACAGCATGAACAGGTGAAGTGTGAAATCGTTTGTCAATGATAAACAAGCGTAGGTGAGAATTTACAAAACAGAAATGGAAATAAACAATACATATAACGAGGGCAAGATGGTTAAATGTTTTGTTTAAATCAACATTAAGTCGGCACCTGATGTATTATTTAAGGTGTATTTTTAAAACGTATAGTAATGCTTGTTGTAAATTTAGAAGGATTCTGTTCCTTATGTACTTTGAAACATTATCACAATAAAGTTATATAAAATCGTAGGCAAGACATACTAATAAATATATATTTACAACCACTGAATATTTTCTCCTTTATTTCTTAAGAAAACCCATTGCGTTAATCACTGCATGAACTACATTAGTCATGTTGCCTGTACAGATTTCTAGATCAGTGGCTGTTCCCTCAATGAATCGTATAAAGACGCTTGCGTCATTAATACAATAATTAATCTTTTTGATCCCACTTTAAATGATTATTTAAACAGATATAAATATAAACAATAAAATGTCTTTCTTTGTTATTACTAGAATTAACGGTCACAGCTATTGCAGAAAATATTTACATAACCCGCTTACGCGGGTTATGTATTTTTTTTCTGCAACAGCTACTTCCGTTAATTCCAGTAATAAAAAACAAAGAAAGCATTTTATTGTTTAAATAACACGTAGATGCTGTTTGATCTTGATCTGAAATAATGTAAGGAAACCATCTTGTTCCTAATTTTTGCTTTAACACTAATCTACAATATCTCTGAAAATTTAAAACCAATAAATAATTAAAGTACTTATTACAACATGTGCACTTTACAAGGCAAAACCGCTTACACAGACTGGAAACAGGCAAATTGTCATTTTATTGCTAGTTACAAATTTTGATTGAAGAGAAAAAATTCAGTCAGATCATCATTTATCATTCAAAATTTGATTTATCGTGCCGTTTTCTAAAAACAAAATTATGCAAATCTCCTTTTTGTCTTTGATACTACAGTATACTTTAAGATATAAAAGGGTAATTTAAATATTTTCTTTTGTTTACAAAAGTCTCACAGATGAATTCAAAATAATCACAATAATTTTGACATTTTAATACTAGTATCATATTTATTGACATGATATTCTATCACAGTAGATTTCTTTTAGAGAGGGATAAGAATAGACAATAAACTTCAATTCTTAAAACAAACAAATTATTTATCTGAACTGTTAAGGCTATTTATATTTGGTCTTTAACAATAAAAACACAGTGACGTATTTTTGTATTGTATTAAGTCGGTCTCCTTGTACTAAAAAACCTTCAGGAAATTTATTTTCACCTTTTTATGCAATCTGCAAGTTTGCCATTATAAGAATGTAAAAATCATATGGAGTAAAATATAATGCAATCTACAAGTTTGTGATTATAGGAATGTAAAAGTCATACGGAATAAAATGTTTAATTAAAAATTTCTTTTTGCATATGTTTGAATTATAAATTTAAAACATATCTCTTAATGACATTATTTCAATGCACAACTTAATAAACGCCACATATTTTCATAAGAGAGAAAATGCAGAAAATAGAACAAAATACTTGCAATAGCCTTTATATAAATAGCTTTTAATTATCATAAATATTGTAAATTTTTGAATTTATTTTTGGGAGGTTAATTCAAATTTAATTCAAAACATAATAGAATAAGCTCACCTTTAGTCTCTGTATATGAATTTCTGTAGGGTCCAATTTACTAGATATTGCTACAGTTACTCCAGTGTAACCATTTCCATCCAGCTGTATCCTCTTGGACTGGAGAAAACAGTCAACATATCCAATTACACTCAAAAGCAAAATTGATGGAAGGAGTTCCATGTTAATGGCGATATACAGATTGTTTTTCTTCAGGTGTATCGTCCTTTTCTTCAGGTGTATCGTCCTTTTACTTGGGACGATATTTTAATACTCCATCCTTTCACTAAAGAGGTTTGTGAATGCAATTTTCGTGACCATTGGCACGAGATGCTGAAAGAAAGCACCGAATAAATGTGGTTTGATAACTGATCTAGATGCTGATAATCGTGAGAAATCTTTCACAGTAAAAGTGGTCGGAGCGCTGGCCTTTAAATCGCCTTTGTTTCCAAATCCAAATATTTAAAAATTTTTGTAAGATGTTGACAAACTTAAGAAACAATTCAGCATGAAGTTTTTAATACCATGCACAACACATCTTTTTGTAAATTAAATCCAAAAACACACCTGTTTAATTTTGGCCTAAATTTCATTCATTTGCAAGTTGACAACCCTTCAGGGATTTTGATAGATTGTACGTGAAATGAAAGAACATTAAATACTGATTCAAAATTCATAACTGCATTATTTATACCGATAGCGTTTGAAATCAAAGTTGACTTCCGTAATGTCATCAAATCATAAACTTTCACGGGAGGGCGGAGATAAGCCTACGTTAAACCAATGGAAAACGTGTTTCCGTTCAAAAATAGTCTAAGATTAAACATCACCAACTTTTTCCAAGCATCGTATTTACTGCATTGCCAATAAAAATAATAATTAATAAAAACATTTTCAAACGTAATAAGAGGAACTAATTATCTTGATATTGGAAAGTGGTTTTGATTTTGGAAATGTCACCAAACTAGGTAATTCCACGATAAATTTCAATTAACATTTAATCGTTAGCTGCAGTTTTTCTAACCACGCATGCATGCAGGTAATTATTTTCAACATTGCATTGCAAAATGTCATTATTTTTTTTAAAACATATAAAAATGCCCTGCAAAGAAATGAAATTAATTCCGTGGTATTATAAATAAAGCGCATAAACATGTAAATTTTCACGTATATAAATTGAATGAAGTTGAAAATTATAATTCTATCTTAATATGAAATCTACATTAAATCTACATTAATTGCATAATTAAAAAATTGATACATATATCAAACGAACATAAATACTCATAATTTGCTCCAAAAGGAGAAAATAAATTTAAAATAATGCAAAAGGGAATTTTTCGCCGTCGGTTTTAATATAAATATTAAGTTTTAAGTTCAAAGCTAACACGGGGCAAAAATATAAAAACATTTTTTATAAAAAGATTTAAATACTTTGTAGATGTATATGTATATAGTGAAGTTGAAACTTGTGTTTGATACGCTTTTGCCTAATTTCAGTGGTTGTCTAGTTAAAAAAGATATATATTCTAATGCTTAATGTTCTAATTTATACCAGAAACAACATCATTGCAGCTCGATGCATATCAATGACATAACATGTCTAAAGCATAATTAGTTAAAAAGCAGAGGACTCTTCATGTGGAACCTAAGTGCAAAATAAGACAAAAAAATATACTGTAGATGATTAAATTATCAAAATGATATATGAAAGATGCATAGAACTTGAATAGGTCTATGGAATTAAAAAGTTTAACTGCATTTATTAATCGTGTCAATTTATTAATCGTATTGCTCGTTGAGTTTGAAAATACAACATTTAATATAAAATGAAAAAAGACGAAAATTGAACGAAAAGGCTAAAAAAAAAGCAGTAATTTAAGAGGTCGCATTATTTCCCCATACTGCATTGCTAGTTTTTGTTTGTGAAATGTGATGTTTTCTCGGTATAAATCATAACAAACATCGCCTCAGAATAAACATTAATTTTATCCAATTACTAGTCATCAGAGCTTTAAAAATGGACGTATGGTGTAAAGGTTTGTATTAAAATAAAACATTTGAAAAATTTGATATACTGATTAAAAGACCATTTTCTGTATATAAAGTGTGTGATAGCCTTTTTTTTAAACTACACGATTCCCTTTGTGTTCAATGGTTTTCATAAAAGATTGATTGGAATGATTATTATCTTAATAAAACAAAAACCATTTCTGTTCAAAAAGAAGGCACTAAGTTCAAAATTTTGCTGCAAGATGTAGAGTATGGGGTTCCGCATTACATCAGAACAAGTATTATGAATCATCTACAATGTATGTATTTCTTCATTGTAATCATCTATATACTTTTTAGATAATCCATCTTCGTATGTCTGAGTGGATAATAGTCGCAATTATATGTTAAAGACTGTATTAGAAAACTTTATATCCTGAGTGATAGTGAAAAACATGCATCAATTATATTTTCTTCCAGGTTAACGGCTTTTCTTTAACTTTGGTTAAATAAAGCAGTTAGATGTACTAAAACGGTTTATTTTTAATTACACATCAATTTAATATTAAATATTTGAAATATATGCTGACATCAGAAAATCTAGTGGTCTCGACCTGTTTAAATTTAATGAATTTCATATACAGTTAAAACGAATTACGGATATAGCGAAGAAATCTCATCCCAGTGACTTCGTTAAAACAGAGTTTTGCTGTAGGATATCTGTGCTATATTTGGTTCAAAAATCAAGGAAAAGTATGTTAATTAATCACTTAATGTATACCTGTTGCCACTACGATTACTATATCAAATGGATGGCTCTGCATATATACATGACATCTTTCTGTATGTTTATTTTGCAATCCATTGCATGACTTTAAAAAAAAAACTTTGAAAACTGCTCTTAAACTCCGGTACCTCAGAAAATTATCTTTTCGGAATTACAGCGTAAGAATTTTGTGTAGAAAAAAATATTTTCTTACTCATGCAAAAGAATCTATTTTTGATTGAACTAATTTCATAATGCAAAATGCAAATGTGTTCCTTTTACTGCCATTCCCCACGATAAATTAAAGTCCAGAATTTTTTAAATTGTTGAAGCTGCTTTTTCATGAAAATGGAATCGGTCATTTGCAAAATTATTTTGTTTTTCAAAATTTTGATTGATTCTGATCAGGTCCTCCACTAATCCTTTCCCATGAATAACAATTGCACCCCGTAATTTACACAAGAATCTTACTTATCTATTTCATATTTAGATATTTTAATAGAAAAAGATTATAATGGTAATTTAACAACAAAGCTTTGTGATAAACGAGTTGAATTTAACTTTTCAATAGTCAACTTCCCTTTCTTATATAGCAATATACTTTTATTTTTATGACAAGGAGCACACGGCGGGTGTTACTGTTTATTAGCGGATGCTAGTTCCCAATGGTGCCTGATCCCATTTTATTAAATAATGTAGGAAGTTTTCTTTTTCATTATAATTTTCATGATCATTTGATTAATGATGTTTCAAAACAACGTCGATTTGAGAATACAAAATACTCTTGATTTCTTTCAAATCAATTTTGAATAAAGGAACAGTATTATAATAATCAAAAACAGAATATCAAACATGAATGGACCATAATTAAAATGTCTCAATAGAGGAATGATTTTAAAGTCTTTGAAATTTTTATCTTTCCTTTTTGAACTGAGAAAAGATGATAGCTATTTTTAAACAAAAAAAATATATGCCTTAAATTAGAAGTGTCAATATACCCACAAGACTGATGAATAAATGCAACATAAAATAAATAATATTTGCATTTTGGCGAGCGTGTTATTTGCAACTAAGTGAGCTTGGTATTTTCTTTTTGTCACAATGATAAGACTTTTTTTACAGTTTTCATTTTCTCTAAAACAAAAATATGTTGATTTATCTTAATTAATAAATTGCAGTGTTATTTATGAAATGATAGGGCCAGTAACTTTTGACATATTTTTTGAAGAAGGGACAAAATTGCTTAAAGCTGAGGGGATTTCCACACTTTAAAACATATTGTAATTACATGTAGTCATCAAATTGTTAAAAAGAAAAACAAGTGTATTTTTATCGAAATCCAGGCTTTTATAATTTATTTACTCTCAGGGCAAACTTTTAATTCAGACTCTCTAGTCCTAAAGAATAAGAACACAATACTATTTCAAACAAGTAATGTAAGCCTTTTTGTCATCAAAATGATTTCATAGACCATCAATCAAGCAATATTGAATTTTCCTTTTTAAGATCGATAAGAATGTAAAACAAAGAGTATCCGACAAGTAAGGGAGGTCAACACGTTTACTATTACACAATTAGTTTGATAAATTTATTTTTGTTTTATCCAGTTTACCTTTTTGTCAATCCGTGATGTTTTTCTTTAGTATCAACAGGGATGGATGAAACTCTGGAAATTGTATTTAACACAACATAGATTTTGTTTTGGTTATTTTATAACAACTAATTTTTTATACAGGTTTTTAGTGCAATGCTTCATTTCTTCACTGACCAAAAAATAATTTTGATTCAGCTTCTAGGAGAAAATACCAAAAGGATTGATTCCTTGATTTAAATTCCTGAATTATAATTTATTTTCGTCTTGAAACGTTAACATTTAACGAATGTTTGTCACAAAATACACGAAGTAAAGAATGTACTTAAAATATTTAGATGCTTACATTTCATCTAATTGGGTTAAATTTTGATCAAACTGCTAAAAGGGATAAAACCACAGTAGTTTTATTATCGTATTAAATTTCAATCTATCCAAATTTGAATTTATGAAGGTTTATCTTTCACTTGAATATAATCACCTGGACACGAAACATGCGGTCAAAGTGTTGTCTTATAAAATGGTACATCAGAATAAATGGTGCATTATTTCTATTCTAACAAACAACAAATTAATTCATTAAGTGTGCATTTAAGCAATGGGCAGCAGAGAGCTGTGGCATTGAGTCACATGGAAAGACTTGGAAAGTCCATAACCATAAATATTAAAATTCATAATAGTACTTTATTAATTAACCACTTTTAGTACTAGTGTGGTGAAGTAATTTTCCACGCATAATTATCTTACATGTTTCGATTTTTAATGGTTATTTATGCCACCAACGCCAAAACAAAAAGGTTAATGATAAATTCATCCTGACAACCATCAAATATTTCTTTTATGAATGTTAACATTTGTGCTGTATTTCAATGAGTA